TCTCTTCAAGGTGCATTCTGACTCAATTTACTCATAATTATGTAATCATAGTCAAAGTATTTATTTTCAAATAATTACCGAATAATGATAGCGAAACCTTGGTGAAGTATGACAAATCTAATAGGCCTTTTATACCTTGATAAAGGTTTATTAGTTTTCTCTAAGTGGTTAGCTCAGGTCATGTCATGTATGAATGTAATAGACACAAACAATGCATCATGATGATAAGTGGGATATGTGACACTAGGATTAGGAGGAGACACACTTCTTCTGAATTATTACCGTGATCGGCATCAAAATTTATTGCAAATCCTTACATATCCTTAGTTCTAGCAAGAAAATATATAGACACCGGTCTTTCATATGCATCGATTATGGTATGCACGAATCTACATGTCCGGTTGCAGCAGGAGCTGTTCTGGAAGAGCTCTGCACACAATACATTGTAATGTTGAGCTGATTTCCATACAAGAGGCACATTTCTTTGTTGGATCTGCTACCATGGTGCGCTAGAGAACCTACATTGGGGTTTGCGTGCGTGCGCACACTCGAGACATATTACACCCCCTTTTCCCAGACATAGTCATGTTGATTGTACAAAATACACATCACTATCTTATTTTGCTTGGTTGGGACCATCATTCTTTTGGCGCGGATAAGCTCACACCAATCAAGAGCAACACAACCATTTTTCATAAAACTTTCAATGAGCGTAGTATCTTGTTTTTATGAGGCAAGAAAAGCACCTTTCTGATTAGTTGATGCACTATGTGTATGTTAATGTCCCATAATGAGAAAGATGGATACACCCTAACAAAAGGTGGCTTATGAGGGAATATATGTTTTGATTAAAGAAAACAAGCTTAAAGGAGCACTACAGTAAGCAAAGCAATCAATCTACTTACTTGTACATAATCTACGGAGTAGTATCATTCTATTGGAGTATTGGCCATGTGTTGGGCCCTCCGGCCAATCCTAGTTTGTCACGTAAGCTAGCTCTACGCTAACTAAAGCTTGCAGACGTAATCCACATTAATTTGGTGCTGGTAAAGCTCCACTAAGCGATGGATTTTGCTAGCTAACCAGATGCTTAGGGATAAGAACATGCCTTGTTAAATAATTTTAGTAGTTAACAACTTGTGCCACATGTCAATTTTCAAGTAAACTTTGTGCCGATGCTCGAGACATATAAATCCACCTATCTTGATCTGATTGCTGCGTGCGATATTGTTTTACCATGTCTAAAGCTAAAAAGGAAGATCCTACAAATGTGCCGCACAATTCATATGTGTTAGGTAACGAGGCTACATGCATAATAATCTAACAATTTTGCCCACCTAGAAATATTCGCTAATAATTATGGTTAATAGGATAATATTACCATTAACATGGGGTGCATCCCCAGTGCTCCCCTTTATTTCTACTAACAGATCTATGTCTTTTCATTAATTTTCTCCAAATAAAGAAGGATGATGCTTACGCTCTGCCAAAACCATATCATACACTTGCCTTTTGTTTCTGGTTTGGACTTGGAGTCTCCCTATAATAAGTGCACACCACAATAATTCTATAGAGTTCTAGATGATGTCTTCCTCCCGTGTATCCGCGTCTACCGGTATCCACACACACATGACACAATCGAATAATTTTCTTAAGTCCTTTGAACAAAGTTACTACAAATATGGTGGGACCAAAATTAAGGAATCTTCTTATAGTTGTATAAAATACTAATTACATCATAAGATCTCCCCACCAAGAAAAAAGACGCAAGCCCAAACCATTCACTAATCAAGCAAATGGGTACCGCATAATTAAGCAGGTTCTAGCTTAAGTTTTGTTTCTGCATGGCATTTATTCACTAACACATTTGGTAGAATCGAGGCCAAACTATTCACAACCCCACACCATAGGAAACTTCTAAATTTCTAATGAATTTAGTAGTTGTAGTGGCCACTGCTTGAATGATTGGTCCACCCAATGTTCTATCTTTCAAGTTACTTGGACCTACACAATATACCTAGTTAACATTCTTACCAATTCTCAAGTACCTATTTTTTTATATAAATCTTAGTTCGCCAAAAGCATGACTTAGACCAAAAATAATGTACTGAAACAACAAGTGCACAAGCAAAATTTATGTGATTTCTAGGCGTTATGCTATGTATGGCCTGATATTAAGATAACAAATGGCCAGGTATCGATTCAAAGATATGACTAATATTACCAAAAAGAAAAAAGAAAAACGAATATATGACTGATATTTAATCTATTTTAGGTAACTAATAAATGGACAACCCTGCCAATTAATGGACGGTTGTCAAATATGAACCAATGCATCATCGTCATATGGCATCAACCACGGATCCCCAGAAACCATTTTGTTCATTTTAGGCTCTAAAATCCTTGTATCCGTGAATTACTTCTGGATTCATACCAAGGAAGATTAGATTTTTTGTATCACTTCTATGTTACGATCGAGCAATACAATCCTTGTTGATTTCTTTGCACCAACTAGTTAATAGAAAAACCTTAGCCGAAAGGCAAATGGAAAACACATTTAATAATCCGCATATACTTGTATCCACATTCGACACACATCACACAATTAGTATATTTTATAGCTCCCTAAATAAAGAAGATCTATTGCAAATATAGCAACCCCAAAATTTAGGAATCATGTTAGATTTCGGTATAAAAACTAAGAGCAAGGTAAGTTATTTAATCATCTCAAGAAAAACAAAATGTCCATGGGCACTATTAGATAACCAAGCAAATGGGTACATAATAAGCAGGTTTCAGCTTAAGCTTCATCTATGTGCATGGAATTAATGCACCGACAAACATGGTACATACAATGAAGGCAAAACCCATGTGCAAACTATTCACAACCCGGTCCCAAAGGAAACTTATAAAGTTCTACTACTTACTACTATAGTTGCAAGGGCTAGTGCATGAATGATTGGTCCACCCAACACAACACATGTGGTAATGTAATTAACATTTTCTATAATTCTCAAGTGCCTATTTTTTCTCTTCTTTTGAAAATACCACTCCATATATTAATTAAATGATAACGTTCTCACAATCATTCATTACAACATACGTTACATAGAGCGGGATGCTACTTACAAGAGCACCATTAGAGCAATAACCAAAACTAGTTTTTGTTGACTCACGCGCTACCCCTTTAGCCTGCCAATTAATCTAAACAACTCAAAAGAGAAATATTGTGGTGTGGCAGCCTCCTCCACCTAATTGTATTAAGGATAATGTCGACGCTAGCCTTGCCGGGGGTGTGGTTCCACTAGTGTGGGGGTCGTTGCCAAGAATTCCGTTATGTTTGTTCTAGTGTGTAAGAAGCTAAGCTGCGTGCATGCCACGCCGGTATCTACATAGGTATTACTCTCTACAAGCCTATTATTTTGGAAACCGATAGTTCATTTCTGCCTTGTTTTGTTGCAAATACTAATCTGGACATGTCCCCTCTTGTTGATCTAAAGAGAAGCGATGGCTGTCAAGTGGCTAATTTTTCATTAATCATAGTAAGCTAAAAGCATATATCACTCAATAAAAAAATTAATGTATTGAAAGCCCTCATATCTACGAGAGCAAAATGTATGTAACCGCGATTTCTAGCCAATAAGTTGTATTTGAAGCAATATTAGAAAAAATAGCAATAAGTTGATCCGAAGGTCTAACTGAGATCTACTCAACTTTTGCAAACTAATAATAGACAGCTCCATTAGTTAATGAATGTTGTAAAAATATGGACCAACGTGGCACTACCATATATATATGGCATTGACCCGTATTCTATGAAGCCGTTCTGGTGCACATTTTAGAACTACAATCTTTGTCCCTAAAGCCGAATCCTTATCTTTTATCTGGGGAGAACCCTCAAATCAGTATGAATTAAGATTTGGATATTTTCTCTTACATCTATTCAATAGAAATTTTGCTTGACTCTTTGCACCAACTAGTTTATGCAAAACTTAAGACAAGAGGTAAATGTAAAACACACTCAATAATCCTTGCTGTGAAGGATGGTCTTAAATTTACCATTCCCTCCACATCGTGCAGAGGGCTTGAAAAATTCCCCTTTTCAGAATGGCGAGTGAGCAAGAACCAATGTGGTGTGCTGAAATTACCCCCATAATTGTGTTCATTTCAACCATTACCCAGGTGACTTAAAGCTAATTGGTCATCGGCCTCGCTGCACTATGGAATAAAATCGCTGTAGGCGGTCATAGAAAGGAGAGCCACAACCACAGGAATTGAGGATATTAATTAACCACCTTTCACTATAAACGGGTTTAAAGCAGGAAGTTCTCCCTCCAACCACACCTTCATTCGTGTCAAAATAACATGTCGGTTGGAAATTGACACGGTCTATAACATGAAAATTTGAGATGAAATTGGTGTACCTCACAATTCTAAACAGAGGGAGTGGTATCGAGTACCAGGATCTTCAGAAACGAAACACGTAGCTTTGAGAGTTGGGAGAAGGTTTACGCATGAGCTCACCATGGTTGGGCACACAATCTTGAGGCAATATGCCCCCCAATTTAAATAACGCCTTAATCAATGGTAACTCATCATCCATGTCCTCTATTTTTTTAGCTTGTCCAAAGCCCTGATTGTACAAATTTTCTTAGCTATAAAAGTTGCATAGGGGATGGATTTCCCCGCGGTTTCGCCTAAAAAAGGTGTGGTATCTAGAAACAGAGTACACACCTCCAAACAAGAATTTCCCCATTGGTCTTTTGATATTTCTTGGCATCACAAATAGACAGTATTCCCATGTTATGCAAGTAAATATTTCTCCCCAGTCTCCTCCCCTATAAATACACCCCATTTCCCTCTCACCCCTCCACACCACCCCTAAGAAACCAACAAGCACACACAGGAGAAAAACAGAGAGAACAGAGCAGGAAACTCATCAGGTGCAAGTGCAACTCCTCTGCTCTGCTACGCCGTGCTCACAGACACCAACACACACCATGAGGCCCGGAGCTGAGTTTGTCACCATGAGCCACCGCGCGGGGGCGCCGACGGTGGCGCCGGCGCACGGGCTGATCAACGGGACGACGCCGCACTCGCCGTGGCAGTCACCTGTGCCGTACCTCTTCGGCGGGCTGGCCGCGATGCTGGGGCTCATCGCCTTTGCGCTGCTCATCCTGGCGTGCTCCTACTGGAAGCTCTCCGGGTACCTCGACGGCGACCGGGAAGGCCAGGCGGCTGAGGGCGACGGGGAGAAGGCCGCGGCGTCGGGCGCATCCAAGCCGGCCTTGGATTTCCAGGAGCACGTCGTGGTCATCATGGCCGGCGACGAGCGGCCCACGTTCCTCGCCAAGCCGGCCACCAGCCGGGCAAACGAGGTTGAGCTCGCGGCCGCGGCCGCGGCGGCCGTAGCGAGCGCGAGCGCCGTCGATGTACCGGAGAAGAAGGTGGACGAACTGGGCTGCGAGGTGAACTCGCAGCTCGGAGGCGACCCCGCCGACGCGGCGAGCGGGAGCAGCGGCCACCAAGACGCGGCGAGCCAGAGCCGTGATCACCACCACCATGACCATGAGAGCAGCAGCACGACGGCGCTCCAAGAAAGCTTGCAATAAAGACTGAAGACAATGAAATGATAAATAAACCATCTGATTGTGCGCGGCCTCGCTAGGAACAGATCAAATTCGTGGATGTCGTTACTCCATCAAATTCCACGGCTGCAGCATGAAGTCCTAGACCAGCGGCGGCAGCTCCACGAGCGACGGAGCGAGGACGCCCGCGCTACCCGGATAGTCGCGGGCCACCACGCGTCGTGGGCGGAGGCCTAGCGTGGGTCACTGGCTCCCAGGCCCAGGCCGGCAAGTTTCAGGAATCAGGACCGCCCCGACGGGCTCGACCACAAGGATGAGGACCGCGGCGAGCTGCTCTCCGCGCTCCTCACCGGCACGAGCGCCGACAAGGAGGAAACAGAAGAAGCTGGCCCGTCAGAGGTAGCGACGGTGGCCTCTCTGTTCGTCGCAGTGACACAGACGACAATGGTAGGATCGTGTGAGGGCTAGTCATGCCGTCCGCCGCGGCATCCACTGGCCATTATTGGCGGGGAAGTGGCCTTCCGACGACCGTGACAAGATGACCAACAGGCCACCGTGGCTATGCCCAATGGACATTTAGTGCTGTAACACGGTTTTTTTAGGTATTGGACGTGTTTGCTATTTGCATCGTGCAGAGGCCGGGCATTCCTTCACTGTGGTTGTATCACCTCGATATATCAGTTGAGTGAAATGTCATTTATCGAAAAAATCTGCAAGCATGATGGCGGTGCTCGTCTGAAGTATCGTGGGCGCTCGCTGGCGGCATACATGGATTTTTTGTCTGGTGCAAGGGCAGCGACTATCGTAGGAGGAGGTTTGTGGTGCACTAGATATTCCCCGTCAGCATCTAGCTTCAAGGTAGTGGCTCTCACAGTGTGGTGTGGATGTTACAGTGTGACTAACGCCGTTGTTGAGTGACAGTGCCCAATTCCATGCCAAGACAAGGGCGTCCCGTAACGGCCGTGGTGGTGATCCAAAGTGAGAAGATCTCACAGATGTATTAGTGCCTTTATGTCCTCGAGTGGAGTACGGATGCTATTATCGAATGATCCATTGCCATCAAGTTGCTGATTGAACACCGCTTAATGTTCAGAGTTAAAATTCTTATCCTAGCCTTTATTTGTCGGGCTTAACAACGACGAACTTACGTCGTTGCCTTCATGAAGGCATTTTCTACTTGTTGTTAGCTGCTCTTTGTTGGCCAAATCTTGTCCAAACCATCTATGTTGGTTGGATGGGCCACGAGCCATTTGGCCTTGTTGTAGCTCCACCGATACTAATGGGAGAACAAAGTTGTTTTTTAGAGAGCAGGGCCAATCTAGACCTACATCAGTAAGGTCACATAGCTTACTCAAACTTTAACATCGTCATTAATTGTATGAGACAATAACTGATATGGTGTCACTTATGTATATATAATTCTAGTGGAGGTTCTAATCCTTTAGCAACTAACAATCTATTACTGCCTGTAGCTTCAATTTTGTGGTGATGAGGGGCGCCAAGGTATGTATTTCTCAGATATTTGTTGATTAAAGTTGTCATCAGTGGGATGTGGAACTTATTCTAGTAAACCCCCACACTTTCAATTGTCCTTGTTTTGTCGTCAAGTACTTCCTCTTATCTTCGTGAACCCCCCCCCCCCACCCCCAAATCCAATTGTCCTCATCTTGTCGGCAAATGCTTCTTCTTACGTTGGTGAAAATAGTCAAAGTACTTACACAAATTAACAGCTATATGTTTAAAATGCTATGTTTCTTACATTAGTGAATGTTGTGGACAACATGGTCATGGCCTTTTATGCAATGGCTTTGATTTCACTGATATCATTATAAGTTGCTTAAGTTCTTATTCTAGAAATCATGTCACCACATTGTTCGCATCATGCTATATTTGAGTAAATAGCATAAAACTACTACTTTACAGGCTAGGGTTCCAAAAAACTACCGGTTTTTATTTTTTCTCAGATAACTACCAAATGGGTGGTCGGCTGTTTCAAAAAACCCTAAAGACCGTGCTATTTAGAATTGATCCGGTTTTTGACAGGTCGGGCCCACCCCTAAACAAACCGTTTGTTTGACCGTTAACATAGATCTGGGGCCCACATGTCAGCCATGGAGCAAATAATAAAAGAGATTTGTTAAAAAATCCCCCCAGGCGAACAGGTGGAGGATGAGGACTAGATCGAGGGGGAACTGTTCCCTCCGCCGGAGGGAGTCCTGGATTAGGGGGTCCTCGGACAGTCGGACTATATGCTTATGACGAACTGTTGGACTATGAAGATACAAGATTGAAGACTTCGTCCCGTATCCGGATGAGACTCTCCTTGGCGTGGAGGGCAAGCTTGGCAATTTGGATATGTAGATTTCCTTCTCTGTAACTGACTCAGTGTAACCCTAGCCTCCCTCCGGTGTCTATATAAACCGAAGGGTTTAGTCCGTAGGACAAGGACAATCATAATCATAGGCTAGCTTCTAGGGTTTAGCCTCTACGATCTCGTGGTAGATCAACTCTTGTAATACTCATATCATCAAGATCAATCAAGCAGGAAATAGGGTACTGTTGGGGAACGTAATAATTTCAAAAAATTTCCTCCGCACACGCAAGATCATGGTGATGCATAGCAACAAGAGGGGAGAGTGTGTCCACGTACCCTCGTAGACCGAAAGCGGAAGCGTTAGAACAATACGGTTGATGTAGTCGTACGTCTTCACGGCCCGACCGATCAAGCACCGAAACTACGACACCTTCGAGTTCTAGCACACGTTCAGCTCGATGACGTCCCTTGAACTCCTATCCAGCCGAGTGTCGAGGGAGAGTTCCGTCAGCACGATGGCGTGGTGACGATCTTGATCTTCTACCGTCGCAGGGCTTCGCCTAAGCACCGCTACGATATTATCGAGGTGGACTATGGTGGAGGGGGGCACCGCACATGGCTGAGAGATCCAAGGGATCAATTGTTGTGTCTATGGGGTGCCCCTGCCCCCGTATATAAAGGAGCAAGGGGGGAGGCGGCCGGCCTAGGAGGGGGCGCGCCAAGGGGGGAGTCCTACTCCCACCGGGAGTAGGACTCCTCCTTCCCTTGTTG